ACACTAAAACAAATAAAGGGCAGGAAAACATACAATGTGCGTTCAATGGATTGTGCCCAAGGCCAGGTTTTGAACTTGAGAGAAGTGGGACAGAGACTGTACCTGTGCTCAGAGACCCAATTCTCACCACAAAAAAGGTCAGGACAAGTGAGGCTTGTGGGGTGAGGACACTTAGAGGGAACTGGGTGATGAAGGGGGGACCTGCACCCGCAGATAGAATCAGACGTGTTGCCTGTCCATTGAGATCACCAACCCAAAAAGCAAGATGCCCCATGGAGTCTGATTTTTTTAAAGCTGAAATATGTGCTTCACCACTAAGACCCAATCGCTAAAGTATGAAAACAGGGCATATTGTAGAATAATTCACTAAGCTTGTCTTCCCCATAGATCATTGGAATTATTCAGGGTGATAACAGCATTTTCCGTACTATTCCATTTCAAATATTCTAAATGTGGCTTTTGTATGATAGGCAGGGAAATTGTTGAGAAAGTGAATCCTGAGAGTTCTCACCACAAACAGATGTTTTTTCTTTTTTTTTCTTTTTCTTGTATCTATACAAGAAGATGGCTGCTACTGTGGTAATCATCTCACAGTACATGTAAATCAACCCATCACACTGTGCACCTTAAACTGATACAATGGTGTTTGTCAATCATTTCTCAATAAAACTGGAAACATAAAAATGATTACATATATAATACAAAGTACAAAAATAATTACATAAATAAAATAATTGCAGAGGTGCTTAAAAATAAATCAAAATAAACGTGGCTTTTGGAGTTTGGACTCCAGCTCAACCTACTGGGTGTGAAATAGTGAGTTTGGCCATCTGATGGGGACAGGGTCCCTGGCCACAGGTGTTACCCATAAAGCTCATTCAGAGTTGACAGCAGTAAGACTGAACTATTGCCACATCATTGAGATGGTTGGGCTCAGAACAGCGAGTGGGATCCCTCTGTTTGCTGTGGCCTGGCAGTGGCGCCTCTCCCCTTTAGATGTTGCTTTTCTATTCACTGTCCCAGGCTGTCATCTCCCTGTCACTGATGGGAATTTCCACAGAACAGCCCATTTAGTAAAAGTGGGTCTGCGTGTGTTTAACATACAGTGTAAGGTTGTTGTACAAACCACCAAGTCCCACCTGAATAAGGCAGAAGACCTGAGCCATTATGAAATTATCAACAACAATAACAAATTTTGAAGAAGAGCTTAAGAAGCCAACTACTCTTGTCACAGGGGTAGCAGTGAACAAACAAGGCCAAGAAAAGCTCTTCCCAGAAACCTAATGGGAAAGCTGGCCTTGTGGGTGAGCTTGCTTTTCAAAGTTTCCTAGACCTTGTGACAAGTCCAGTTCCTCCTGTTTGGCTAACAGAAAGCCTCTTGTTATGGGCCCTGGCCAGGTAGCTCAGCTGGTGAGAGAATCATCCTGATATGCCCATCACCCCTTCTACTCTTAGCAGAGCTGACTGGGCCAAGGGCACGGAAGCCCAGCTCCCTTCTCAAGATGCTGTTTTCACTCCAGAACTTCCCCCCCCCCACCCCCCCAGAGTCAGGCAGGGAATGGCCTTGGCCAACAATCGCACTCTTACTTGACTTCCTCCCTCCCTGACTTGCTTCCCTTACTGTCCTTCCAATTCCTCCAGAAGCACGTCTTTTATTAATTGCACATGAATGTTTGTCTCACCATCTGCTTCTAGAATATCTACTCCTGGAGGAGATTTCAACTCCATGGCTTCCTAACATAAGGTTCTCTCTGGACAGGCCAGAGGCAGGCAGGTCCCCGCCTCAAATGGACAACCTTCATTCTCATGGTTCACCTACCTTCCAGGGCGACATTTACACACCTCCAGGACAGGGATGGTGCGAGCAAACTGAAGGCAAATGACCAAATCCAGCCCGGCCTGTGGAGGATTCTTTAAGGTGGTGTGGATCATAGGAAGCTTTGATGACATTTTAAAAACTGACATACCCTCCCCCCGACACACCCACCCAATAGTTCTATCTCTAACCCAACCTAAGTAGATCTATTCAAAGGTAAAAATGTATTTTTATTCCCTCTCATCACACTTCAAAGCTTTTCATGTCTCGACTGAAGCCAAAATGAGATTGGACGCGCTACAGCATTTTCTTTTTTGGAAATGGTTCTTGGGAAATGGTTCCCTTGAAAAAGCTAGTTCTTGTCATCTTCTCTGCCCAGTTTTTAGACATCTTTTTAGAACTTTGGGTAAAAATCCAGACTTTGGATGTATGTTCTATTTAAATTGGACACGTGCAAGAACTTTGCTTGCAATTAATTGGGAGGAAAGAAAGAAGGAAGGGAAGAAAGAAAGAAAGAAAGAAAGAAGAAAGGTGATTTACTGAATAGCCATTCATATTTGTTTTTTATTTTAGGCCACAAGACCAATAAGATTGACCATCTTCAGTTACAAAATGATTAACTGGGTATGTGAAGTAATATTGTATGGTGGATCCCAGACCCTACTCCTTAGCTTCAGGTTGTGAAGTAAATGAGTTCAAGATTAAGAAACACAATATTTTTTGTTAAGATTATTGTCTTATTTCCCTTATTAGCCCCAAAATTTCCAGAAATACTTTGATCATTCAATTATTAAAACATGTAAAATAAATTCTGTCTTCAGTGACTGAAATCTCATAGATGTGTAGATGCTTATTCTAGAACGTTCCCACTCACCTCTCCACACTTTAATCACACATTTATATGCCTCTCCTTTTGTGAGTTCTGTCAGATCGCAACCTCAATGTCTAATTTTTAATATCTCCAAATGAAAAAGAATGAAAACAGGCACACATCACCAAACTGAAGAATATTGGCTTAACATTTAAATTATTTCATGGATTCATATTCCTTTGGACTCATTTTCTTCTTTCATCACTTTTAAGACTGTTATGAATGGATGCGAGCTCTACTATGCATGGTCCTGCAAGAAATAAAACTTTCCAGCATATTAGAGCATGATTATAATTCATGTCGTGTATTACTTGATACTCAAAGGAATCTACACATGCATATGTATTCCCGCAATAGACTAATTTGAGAAAAATGTGGCCTAATGAAAAGTGCATGGCCTGCGAGTGAGAAAAGCTGCGTGGAGCCTCCATCCACCTCCTTCCAGCTCTGTAACTTTGAGCAAATCACTTGCCCTCTCTGGTTTTCACTTTCATTCCCTTGAAATGCAGCTAATCATGCCTTTTGGGCCTGAGCATAAAATTAAAAACATTATTGAAAGAGCTTTATAGATGGAGAGAGAGTACTCAAGTGTTAGTTTACTAATTAAAGGAGGGACTGCAAATACGAATTAAAACTAAGAAGATAAGAATGAAGATTCAACCGCAATAACAAATTATACCCTCCATTGATAACCTTTTATCAATCTACTTGACAAGTGTATTTTGGGGGGGACTGTGTGGTGTCAGATGTCCCTCGAAGGTCACAGAGTGAGGTGCAGTGGTGCTCCGAAGTGGGACACAGAGTCAAGTCAGCACAATTTAGACAGTGCTAAGCACCATCCAGAGGAGAGGGAGTGTTGAGACACAGAGTTGGATGGGATGATATGAAGGGTGGACCTTAAGAATGATGTCCTGGGGGGACAGGTACCATTTGGGCTAAGACCTGAGCAGTGATAACGGACCAGGCGGATGAATGAAGACCTGAGGATATTCCAGGCAGAGGGAACAGCCTGTGCAAATCCCCTGAGGTGGGACATGCTCAGAGTCTGAGTTCTGGGTTTTCCCTTTTCATTTTGCGTGGCTTCTTCAGTCTCTCCAGCCCTGACATTGCTGGGGAGTCACCGTTTCTCTCCGGCTGAAGAGGAAACCCTTGCTTCAGGGGAAAGAGAAGAGCCAAAAGGAAGGACACTGGCTCGCGCTCCCTCTGGGGAAGCGGGGAAAAGGAATGACCGCGGTCAGGGCTTTGGGTCAAGGGAGAGGGGAGGAGAAATGAGGAGGCCTTACACCTTGCCCCCCAGGTCCCAGAACTCAGGGGAGGCGATCTCTCCTCTGATTCCAATAAAGCATGTCACCCACTATTCTCTCCAACTTAAAGCAGCCTTGTCCACCTGGCCCAGGTGCCTGTGTAGGGGACATGTGAGCGTCCACTCGGAGTTGACCTTGCACCAGGGCAGGAATCTCATGGCGAAAGTGCCCGCGGGGAAGTCATCCTCTCTCAGAATCTACCAGGGTCTCCACGTGCTCTGGCCCTGGGAAGTGGTTGCCCACATGGGCCCGGCCTCCCTCCCTCGGCAGGAAGAAGACACACATCTGCGTCCAAGGAGGAAGCTCTCTGCCTCCGCTCCCTGAGACGGGAGACGCCCCCTCAGCCTCCTGCTTTGAGGGTGGACTTCTGCCCATTTCTCACGAAAGTGCCAGACTCTGTGCATAGATGCTGGACACGAGATTCCAACCCGGGTGCCCAAACCCAGTTTCTAAGCTCCAGAAGAACCCACCTTGACCCACATCTATCCAACTTCTTGACACTTTCCCATCAAGGAAAACAGCCTATAGGAAAAATCAACATGGCCATGGAGGATTGTGCTAAGAAACACCGAGTTTCCCCCTGTGCCATTGTGTAGATTCCTATTTGGTGTGTGTATTATCTGCATGGGTTTGTCTTGACTTCTCCTGTGGGCAGGGTTCATTGTCACTCTTCATTTGGAGTGGGGAGAGCAGGAAGGGAGAGAGAACTTGGGGTAAAGGGGAGTTAGTTAGAAAAAATCATCTGCTTATTTACTTATAGTTTATTTAGGCAAAGGGACCTTAAAAAGCCTTTGAGGAGAATGGCTGAAACTTCTTCAAAGAATAACTGGTGTTCTTTAAAAGGGCATAGTGTTCTTTTACACAGGTGTCTGCAAAGCTGAAGCAGGGTGTCCATTAGCATTCTCTCCTGGTCTGTAGATTTCCTTAAGACACACTGCTGACATCATGGTCTCTCTCTCTCTCTCTCTCTCTCCCCCTCACTTTTTTTCTTTCCCTTCCTCCCTCCCTCCTTGGCCCTCCCTCCCTCCGCCCAGTCTCTTCCAATCTCTTTCTTTCTCTCTTCAGCTCCTCCAGGTAAACCCTACTCAAGCTTGTACCAACTTGTTTTTGACTGACAGGGAGCAAGGAGAGCTGTCTTCATTCCGAGGGAACCCGAACACCTATGCTCCCAAGGCGACCTGCCCAGACAGCAGCTCACCTCCCGCCAGGAGGGTGCCTCGCAGCCCTTGCAGGTAAGGGGCAGGCGGGGGTCAGACCCGGAGCCCACAGCCTGTGGGAGCGAGCTCGGGAACACGGCCCTTCTCAAGGTAATGGAAGAGTGGGGTTCTTTTCAAACTCCCTGGAATCATTCAAGACGGCCAAGCTTATCTGCGGGAATTTACAAGTGCTGTTTGCATGTGGAAAACGGGTTCTTACTTAACGATGGGGCAAAAAAAAGTGCTTCATTCTTGCCTGTGAAACAGTATCCAGATGTTGTCTTGTTTTTTGCGAGTGTAAGTGAGCTCGATGAGGGGGAAGCACTGCTCCGACTTCTCTGTCTGTGTGGGTCTCTCCTGCTGTCTGTCAGGTCAGGGCGAGTGTGTTACTGATTCTCAGAGATTAGAGAGCTCTTGTGGTCGTTCCCCGGCTCTGATTTCTCCTTGGTCGGTGGAGAAATCAGTTGAGGTTGCCGTAAGGCGAAACCTCACTGGACTAGTTAAAAGTCGGCTACCTATCCTTACAAGAAAGAGTTATGTAAGTTTTCCGTGGTAGGTGTAAGGAATGTAAACAGTTCTGACTTTGCAAACTTTCAGAGCCTTGCCCACGGCCGACCCCTACATAATGCGCTTTATCGTCTGGGTATGATTTCGCGTGCCTCCCGACCCTGCTCGGCTAATCAGTGTTACACGGGGTGAAATTTCCACATTCCTCCCGAGAAACTAGTTTGTTTTAATCTCCTCCCTGCACTTCCGCGTTTAGCTGCCTGGAGGAAATAAGAGTTTGTTGTTCAATGGATGTTTCTTGACCTCACAATCGCTTCTCAGTCCCAGGTTCAGGCACTTACAACACACGCAGTATTTCACTTGGGAAAACGAAAGACCCAAGTTGGTCCCGCTCCATTCAAACACTAAGATTTATTTCTTCTGCTCGGAAAATACTTTACCCTTTCTTTTTTTCTCTTGACCTAAAGGAAGGACTTTGAAAAACATTATAAGTGATGCTTAAAGTTCTTTTTTTGAAATCTGAAAATCACACTCACACACAGAACCAGGTGCTGTCCCAGGCTGTCTACGCTGGTGAATGTTTAAGCAAATGTGTAATGAGCGACACTAGCCTTGGGTGGAAACCTCTCTCCATTGAAAACTGTCCTAGGCATCCAAAGAAAAGAGTCACATTCACCGACAATGCCTTTGCAATGCCATCCCTTTATGAAAACGAGACACCGGGAGACTTCCATGTGAACAACAAAGCACTTACCTCGCCCTCAGCTCCCGGCTGTGTTTTCCCGGCTTTATTTTAGCAGACTTCCTCCCGCCTAGCTGCGAATATAATAAATTACCCGAGGGAGAGGCGACCCAGAGGTCATGTGGCCAGTCTTCACAAAAGGGTAGGCGGTGGAGGAGTTTCACCAAATTGCCAGTAGCCATATCTCAGACGTGCTCACGGAGTCACGGAGCTGACGTTTCTTCTCCGAGTTAAACAAACGCGTACACCGTTGGGGATTTTATAGACATAGACCCCGTTGAATTCTGTGATTCTGGTTGCTTAAGGAAAACACATTTTTAAAAAGTCCTCCCACCCTCTTACCACTCCTGCCTCCCTCCAACACTTGTGGTCATCTTAGAGAAAGTGCTATTTCCCCAATTTCCGCCTTTCACACTTCTAACCGGTGTGGACAGCCCTGCTTGAGGGGGGAGGGGAGTGGGAGGGGAGGGCGAGCGAGACCCCAGCCTTCCCACTTCACCGTCCCGGAGAGCCAACAAAAGCAGGTCACTGGCTGCATTGCATGGGGCTCAGCACACGCCTGTGAGGAGGAGGCTGCAAAGGCTGCACAGTCTCGTCTCGGTGCATGTGTGCATGTGTGCGTGTGTGTGTGTGTGTGTGTGTGTGTGTGTGTGTGTGTGATTATATACCTAAATGACAACAACATGCTTGGTGCAAGGAGAACCACCGAGGTGTGGCTCGGCGCTGCACAGAGGCCAGCGTTTCGGACTTAATCAGTAAATGTCAAGCGGTTGACATCTCCTTTCCTGCCGCACCCCCTCCCCTCTGTTCGGCAGAGCAGCTGGCTTCCTCTCACACGTGGCTTCAGAAGCCAGGGCTGTGTGTAGACTTGCCCGGTGAACCCATCAGAGTCTCAGGACCCCGCAGAACAAGCCCCGGGCCCCGCACAGCTGTGATGGCCCCTGGGAACCCTGGGTCGAGGCAGCGCAACCTCTCCAATAGCTTCCCTCCGCACTCATTTAGAAGTAACTCAGCTACTGCCTTTTCTCCACAACTCGAGTGCATCCCAGCAGAGTACATCGGTGTCTCCAAATGTGTTGTTTCAATTCTTCTTTGAAGTGGTAATAACTCTGCTCTGGAGAGAGTCAGGAAGCTCTGGCAGGTTAACATTGCTGCTGTGTGTGCAGAGGGGAGTGTGCTGCTTATGGAGGGAAGTGCAGGATGAGGGTCAGGCTGGGGTTCTTCGCCCCCCTCCCTCCTGCCTGCCTTTCCCCTCCAGGCAGACTGCCACCTTGGGGTGGGGCTTCTGGTGCCCTTGGAGGGTGGGCTGTGTAGCAGGGCTGGGCACCGGGACAAAAAAGGAGCACAGGGAGCCAAGGGGGGTTCACTGGGTGTGTGCCCCTCAAGGATGCTGTGCCATGGGAGGACACAGATCTGACCCAGCACCCCTGGTTCTCTGCTGCCACTCGGGCTGCTTCCTGGAGCAGGTTATCCAGACCTGGAGGGGTTTGTGGCCTGAAGGGCCAGGCCTCCCCCAAGGACAGGAGCACAGGGAAGACTGCCCCCTGCTTGGAAAGGGAGAACAGAGGGTGTAGAGGGAGAGAAGACAGCATATCATCTTTTTATAAATAAGCTAGAGGCCCAGTGCACGAATTCATGCACAGGAAGGGTTGGCTGGCCCACCCTGATAGGGGCCCATCGGGCCTGGCTGATGGGGGGGAGGGGCCACAGGCAGTTGGCCGGCCAGCCCTGCCCCCAATCGGGGTGTTGGGGGCCAATCAGGAGCAGGGACAGCTGGGAGGAGGGGCTGAGGCTGGCCGGGGGTGGGGAGCTGATGGGGGCCCAGATCAGGCTGGTTGGCTGCTGCAGTGCACATCATAGCCACAGGTCGTTCCAGTTGTTCCCCCATTCTGGTTGCTGGGCTTTTATATATAGAGATATTTTTTAAATTGATTTCAGAGAGGAAAGGAGAGGGAGAGAGAGAGAGAAACATCAATGATGACAGAGAATCATTGATCGGCTGCCTCCTGCATGCCTCACACTGGGATCAAGCCTGCAACCCGGGCATGTGCCCTTGGACTGGTATTGAACCTGGGACCCTTCAGTCCATAGGCTGATGCTCTATCCACTGAGCCAAACCAGCCAGGGCTAGTATATAATCTTAAAAATCAGGGTCTGGGGTAGTTTTATTTGCTAAGTATTATTTGGTTGAGTTGAAAGAGAAAAAAAAGAGCAGACAGACATCCTGATAAAGACAAGGCAAGAAGTAGTTGTGGAGGAGGTACTGTTTGCTCTGCAAAGCGCGCCTGGGCTCACCCAGATGGCATCGTGGTCCTCTCACTCACTGTGACGCAGCGGAGTCCACACAGAACCCCTCACCACGTCCCAGGGCTTTTTAGTCAAACAGACTCTGCTCATTTCATGAAGAAAGCTCCGTGCTCTGGAGGACTCTGTGCCTCATTGCTTCCCCGAACATTGTGCCTCCCTGGGGGGTCGGGAAACCCAAGGTTGCTGCAGTCCTGAGAGCCTCTTTTGCATGCAGTCTAGTGCCTGAATGCGGTCTGTGCTTCTAGACCTAAAAGCCTCCAGTACAAAATTCCAGGGATTTTTGCCATGGGATGAGATGAACCAGGGTTGCCTGCTCATGCTCACTGCACCAGAAGGTGAGCGGGAAGAAGAGCGAGGTGCATGATTTTTTGGTGCAAAAACATGCGTGGTAGGAAGCAACAAAGAGTGAGTCTGTGCTGCCTCCGGACGGAGGGCCTAGAGGGAACGTGGGAATGAATTCGCCGCAGAGTAAGTTCTGTTTAGTTCTCCCTGCAGGACAAATTCAGAGCAATCCACAGGTGCCTGTCCACATTGAGCAGGGCCAGCAGCTCCTCCTCAGAGCTGCCCTGGCCCTCACACCCCCATCCAGGGTCCCGAGTTCAGGGAAATGACATCCTGGAACCAACCATGTCCCTGAGATGACAGATCACATTAGTCCTCAGAGTTAGAAGGGGTCCTCAGAGTACAAAGGAGCAGGCTCGGAGGGCACACCCACAGTCAGGGTCCTATTCCCAGGGGCTGCTGAGGACCCCGGAGTGGGGTTTGGGTTGCAACCCACATCCTGTTTCAGGAGAAGTTGCCTGGGTTCCGGCTGAAATTCTCGTGTGCTTCTCCAGTGCCAGCGGCACCAGAGGCTGAGCAAGGTTTGGTGAAGCTTGCCCCGGCTGGTTTGGCTCAGTGGATAGAGCATCGACCTGTGGTCCAAAGCGTCCCGGGATCAATTCTGGTCAAGGGCACCTACCTCAGTTGCAGGCTCCTTCCCAGCCCGGGCCCTGGCTGAGGCATGTGTAGGAGGCAACCAATCGATGTGTTTCTCTCACATCGATGTTCCTCTTGGCCTTTCCCTCTCTCTTCCACACTCCCTAAAAATCAATAAAAAAATAGCCTTGGGTGAGGATTTAAAAAACCACAACACACATTTGATGGAGCTTGAAGGTTATCCTGTTACAGAAAAACCGGAGGAGAACCAAGCAATGCTTACAGCAGTGGTTCTCAACCTGTGGGTCGCGACCCCTTTGGTGGTTGAACGACCCTTTCACAGGGGTCGCCTAAGACCATCCTGCATATCAGATATTTACATGATGATTCATAACCGTAGCAACAGTACAGTTATGAAGTAGCAACGAAAATAATTTTATGGTTGGGTCACAACATGAGGAACTGTATTTAAAGGGCCAGAAGGTTGAGAGCCACTGGTTTAGAGAGATGGAGTTATGTTTATTATTTTGCGCAGGGCCAGAGGAAAATGTCTCTCAAATTCTGGGTGAAATCACACAGGAAGTTTCCCGTATTTATACCATTCCACCTTCTTTGTCTCCCAAATATGGAGTTTTTC